AACATTGGATTTGAAATGGCGGGTCAACAGAGCGTTGACCGGTTGCCCAGCAGCCAACCGGCGCCGGTTATGGCTTGAACCGGAGCCGGTTTGAGTACAAGGTTCACTGATTATTTAATTTAATAGTGAACCGGCGTCGGTTAGGGGCTGAATCGGCGCCGGTTCGGACCGGCCAATTTTACATGACGGGTTATTTTTTATTTTCTTTGCATGGATGATAATGCTTAGGCCTTAAGACTTGGTTTAGTCTTGATTATTGATTATGATATAGACCCTATCTAGTATGATATGTGGTAGATCATAGGTCGGGTGGAGTATCCAGCGATCGGGCCGGTGTCCTCAAAACTAGGTTATGTCGGGTGGAGTATCCAAGGATCGGGCGTGTATCCTCAAAACTCGATTATGTCGGGTGGAGTACCCAGGGATTGGGTGTGTATCCTTAAAACTCGGTTATGTCGGGTGGAGTACCCGGGGATCGGGAGTGTATCCTCAAAACTCGGTTATGTAGGGTGGAGTACCCAGGGATTGGGCGTGTGTCCTCAAAACTCGGAATATAATTGGGTGGAGTACTCAAGGATCAGGCGGTGTTCTTAAAACTCATAGATTACAGTTTAGTAATTCAGGATCGGGTGGTGTCCTTATGATACTCGATTTGGACCAGGGGAGTCCTATACACTCATAGGCATATGGGTGAGTTGGGATTTTAAGTCAAGGACATTAACTACAACTATCTTTCCAAATAAACAATGACCTACAGTTCGGGTATTTCCAAGTGCAAATATACTGATATGTACGAAGTATTTCATAACTTGGGGGAAAGTATCACCTTATGTTTGGGTCTTGTACTTCAAACGTTAAATTAATTATGCTACATTCAGCCTACTGCTCGCTCGGATTCGCGTACTGACCCCTTCGGGGGCCCCACCATTTCAGGTTGAAGCTAAAGCTTGCTACCTGCACCCTTTCTCCATGAAGTGATTCAACGAAGATGTGATTCGTGCTTCCTTTACTGTTTTAAAACTATAAACTATGCTCATGGATATTTATGTAATGAATACATTGTTTTGGACCCGCAAGCCCACGTTTTGGCCATGTGTGGCCCATGATTGACTATTGACTATATTCCCTAAATATATATTCATTCAATCCAAATTGTGATGTTGTTATGTATGTTTACTTATTGAGTATGGTATGGACTATGTTCATGGATGCCTTGTATGATTAAGTGATGTTGACTTACGAGTGACGTCACTTGGTCATACGGCAGCTGTACACGCGCTTAGATGTGGTCTGGGGCGTGACAGCAATTATCCAAAAGCTAAGTAAACAATACATAAAACCATCCTAAAATGCATTCTTTATGCGCTAATAATAGCACATATCACCTCGCGCCTCCAAAATTTGGACTAATAGCCCTGGAAGCTTGATCGCCGCTCGAAAATCAGTCACCGATTGTGTCACTGATTTCTAATGGGTTATTGTCTTGAGTGCTATACAGCGATCATAAAAAATAAGAATATTTTTAATTGGACTAGTTTAGATCACAAACCATACTTTAACAGACTTGACGCAACAAATCTAGACCAGACCAATTCATACCAAATTTTGACAATTGCAAAATGCACATAGAACATATATATATATACTCCCTCCGTCCCATTGAACTTTGCCAACTTTCTTTTTTTGGTTGTCCCAAAAACTTTGTAACTTTCCGATTAAAGTAATTAATTTGTGGTTCTTCACATTTCTCTCTGCTCTGCACAAATCTCAACTACATAGTTTTTACTTTTCTTATTTCTCACCTACTTTGCACTTGGCAAAGCCCACCGGGCCTAAGGTAGTTCATCAAACTAGAGCAGAGCAGACCATAATATAAAATTGGAGTCCAAATTAAAACACCATAATTATATTATTATGCTAGTAATTAATTAGGGAAAATTCGTTAAATAAGAGTAAAAAAGATCTGAAATTCCAAAACAGGACTGATATGTTTTTATTCCTTAAGCAGAAGCAATTCCTGCTAAGTTTGACATTATCATGTTTTAAACATGTGAGTTTCTGCCAAAAAAAGCAAAAGTAAACACAAATTACTCTTGTTTAAAGAATAAAATCATGAAGGTCCTATTTTAAAATTTCAAAACGTTTTCTCTTATTCATCGTAATCATAATGTATATAGTACTACCTCCGTCCCGAAAAGGTTCGCCATATTGACTTTTCTTGGTCAATGATGATAAACTTTGGACAATGATTTTAATTATTATATTTGTATATAATTTAAAAAATTTATACTTTTATGAAAATATTTTGAATAAGGAACATTTTGATATAATTTTCATATTCAAAATATTTTCGTATTAAAAAATAGGGCATTTTTCTTGAATATTACCAAATTAAAGCTCGTTTCCAAAAATGTGACCATTTGTTTAAAAGGACAAAAATGTGACTAAGAAAGTCACATATTTGAAAAACCATGAAGTCACTGTATTTTTTGTCAGATCACTATCTGATTTTTATGTCACTGCAATGTTTTCATGTCATTGAAATGTGCCACCGTCAGATTTCCATATATGTCACCTACGAATGTCATCAGAGCTGCTGAGCTGCCACATTGACACGATCACAGTGACACCACCATAGTGACCCTGCCACCGCTCAGTGACACCCGACCCTGTCGCCACAACGACATCACTTCATCAAGTGACCACCGCCTCGACTATCTTGTGACCGTCTCCACAGCTTAGCCCCCACCCTAGCCTCCACCAGGCACAACCTCAGTTAGTCTTCTCCCGACCCAAGTCTAGATTCGCCCCTTTCCCTTGCGCAACAGAGCTACAATCTGCGACGGCCATGCCGCTAGGGATGGCAACGGGGCGGTTCAGGGTCGGGTATACCATTACCCGTACCCGCCCCGTTTGATAATATTTTTCCCCGAAACCGCCCCGTTACCCGTCGGGTATTTTTTACCCGCGGGTAACGGTTTTCCCCGCGGGTAACGGTTTCCCCGCGGGTAACCGTTTTATTAAAAGGTAATTTTTTTCTTCAAAAATAGTATAAATCCTAAAATGATGATTAACTACTTATAATTGATCACCTAAATTAAAAAAATCAAAATTAAATAGCACCACTTGTTTTATTAAAAGATATTTTTTTTCTTCAAAATTAGTATGATGATTAACTACTTATAATTGACCACCTAAATTAAAAAAAATCAAAATTAAATAGCACCACAGATAAAGTTTTTTAAAACATCACAAAAAATTACAATCTTTTGAACCTAATATTCACAAATTATATATGTGTAGATTCAAAATTATGAATCTCTTCACATCAACATCAAGAGATTAAGTCTTGTCTCGATAGTAAAATCTAAATATGAATCACAAAAACATTTAACTTCCAAAAATTCAATAATCATACCCCACCAGCATTCAATATCTAAATTTAAGACCAGTAATGTATACAAGTAACATAATGAAAATGGGAAGTTTTTTTCCTGAAATATTACTAATAAAAAATATATGGACATAAATGTGGCTATAAGTTATCATGGGTAATATTTATAGTCACTATGATATAACACTTGAATAAAATTATAAACACTAAAGTTACTAGAGTCGCATTTTTGTCCACGACTTTTATTTTGATTATAGATTTGGAATTATTTTTAAAAAATGTACTTCTAATACTGTGATTTAGGTATTCTCGTAGTTACTGTTTTAGAAACCTCATAATTTAAATTTAAAACTTGATATAAATTAGAGCAACCAATCAAATTAATCTAATCATCCAATACACCTCTACAAAATTATTAGCAATTACATAAATTAAAGCAATCTAGAGTAATGTTTCCCAATATTTGGACTTTAAACTCATATGTGAGCTTTATGAAAGTTATTGGGTGAAAAAAATAAGAGAGTCACAATGTGAAAATTGTGTACAGAAAATCATGGAAATCAAATAATCAATATGTGAAGAAAATAAATCTTGTAGAAGAAACAAAGGAAGGATGATGAATGAAGTTGAAAATTATAAATCTAAAATAGTGAATTTTGAACATCAACTCATCAGAATTGCAAAGGATAGCTGATTAGTTGAATATTTTTCAAAAAAAATAGAGGGAATAAGTGTCATATACTAATGTACTACTATTCATATATACTTAATACTCCATATATTAAATAATAAATACATAAACTATTAAAATATGTAAGTTATTAATTGTGCGGGTCGGGTAATGGTGCGGGTAACCGTATCCAAATTAAACGGGGCGGGTAACGGGGCGGGTAGGTATAAACTCATAACCGCCCCATTACCCGTTTACATAAATCGGGTATTCCCCGCCCCGTACCCGTTACCCGATCAAAGCGGTTTTCCCCATTTTGACCGGTTCGGTTCGGTGCGGGTATCCATCGGGTCGGGTTAAATTGCCATCCCTACATGCCGCTGCTAAAACTTTATGGGCCAAGACAGTCACTATGCATGATCTTTCATTAATCAATTTGCATCTTCAACTACAAGACCTTAGACCTTCATTTCTTATTGTCGGATCATTATGAATTGAAGGAACTAGGAAGAAATTGATTAACCTTTAATTTTCTTAGCAAATTTAACACAGAGAAATCACAAATTTTCCAGAGACATTTGTTGGGTCAGCAAATTGAAAGACCTCCAACGTTCTATGTGACGGGAAGGAGATGACTGATGATGATGCAGGCGCGGTCGACACTTCCGAGCAGATGATGCGAGGCAAATGGTCATCTGTGCAGCAGCGCCGCAGGACAGATGCGGCATACCATCCCTATGCTCTCATCGATGCTTTCCGATTCATTAACGGGGAGTCACTTTTTTGGAAAATAGAAAAAAGATGATAGTTTTGGAATTGGATAGTGTGAGGGTAATATATATAGAGGTATTCTTTTTAAAAAATATCATTATTCAAAGTTGATTGTTCTTGACCAAGAAAAGTTAATTTGACGAACCTTTTCGGGAAGGAGAGAGTAATTATTACGGAGTATTAATCTTTGCAAATCAATGGTTATATGTTAAACATCCATTCAATTCGTCTCACAAAATTTATGCATATATATGGATATGATCCACTTTAATTGATTAATATATCTATATATGGACGTACATATATACTACAGTAGTATAAAATATTGTATGTACGTGAGAAATGGATGGATTAATTTTCAAGTGGTGGATTGTTCAAGCCTCCTGCATCCAAGGCTTTGGAAACCGCTCCGTGGCAAGCGCCGACGGCTTTCTCCGCCTCATCTTGGACCTTGAACGGCTCCTCGCTCATGTCCACCTTGAAGTGGTTGAGGGCGCCGCTGCACTCGTAGATGCCCGCCCACGCTGAGTACACCACGTTGTCCGTCCGCGCGTACACGCCGCCCCGGATCCTCTTCATCGCCCGCCGCAAGTTGTGCAGCGCGTACTCGAACCCGCTCTTGCACTTCTCGTCGATGTTCGCCCTGTCCGCCTCCGGGATGCTCGCCGGCAGCCTCACTCCGATCCCCGCTGCCTCTGGCTCCGCCATCTTCACCTTCTTCATCGTCGCCCCTATCATCTTCACGATCGCCTTCTCCCACGCCGTCTCGCCATCCAGAACCTCCCTGCAGAAGGGGGCGCTTTCCGCCGGCAACCCGTCGCAGAATAATGAGGAAGAGGCGCCGCCGGCTGAGGAGCTGTTAGAATTTACGTCATCTCCCACCGCGCCCGCGTCTTGCCATGCACCACCTATTATTACTATTATTATCATTATCAAGGCCATTGATGAGAAAGAAATCTGCAGGTTTCTTGATGAAGCCATATTTAATTTCTGGGTTTTATTAACTTGTTTCTTTCTCAAAATGGTCTTCTTTTATTTTTGAATTTTGATGATGGGGAAGCTATTAATTAAATAATAGCTTTCTGATTTGAAAGGGACATGGAATAATGACATGCATATTTATACGGGTGTGCAGGATCGAGTTGTTTTTATGCAATGGCCGAGCTTGATTTTCTATTCGCTGTTTTTTTCTTTATTCAATTGTTTTCGAAGCTCGATTGAAAATTAAGGATCCAGAGGATTTCTTTAATTATCTTCTTCCGATATGTACGTTTATAAGTGCATAACACTTTTGTACCATAAATAAATAATCAAATACGGAGGGAGTATTAAATAAGTTTTTTTTTTGAAATTTTCTTCTAAACCTATTATAGAAATAAGTTTATTATTATATACCACGTACTTCGTATATAGGAAGTATGTATCTAGGAATAGTGACAATTGTGACCGATCAGTTAGGTACTCGCACGGGCCGCACCGAACCGCTTCGGCTGAAATGAGGAAAATCATATTGACCGAGTAATGGGTACAGTACAGACAGAGAACAACCGTTTTATTTTTATGGATAATGCCATAATGCTACATTGTGTATAAATAGATTAGATCTATTTCCTCTGTTGTGTATAAATGGATGCAATATACTCATTATAATGTATGTGAGAAAGTTCATAAGACCTTAAGAGTCTTGTTTTGTAATTATTTCCGTGTTTTTCTTGTTTAATTAATTCTTTTGGTTTAGGTATTTTCAGGTCTAAATAAATTGGAGTTGGCTTCTTCCTAGCTTTGTAGGTGTATGAGATTTTTAGATGGCGTCTTATTACGTCTAGAGTCACCTACACAATGTCGTTTTCCACACCTTTTAAAAACATTTATTTTTATATTAAAATATTAATGATCCATTAAAGAAACAATTACCCGCGATTATACCCGATAATTGGTTGGGCGGTTATGGTATAGAAAAAAAACATTGGGCAATAGAGCGATTATGGGACGGAAAAATTACCTAACGAGGTGAGTACGATTATATGCATAATCGTCTCCGATTCGCCCCATTGTCATCTAACTTGACTTTATTAATCAAAGGAATCAAGCTCGAATTTGCCTTAGATTGAGTCGTGCACGATAAAGAAAAATCGAGTTCGAGTTCCAGAGTCAAGTTGAAAAATCAAGTGTATAACTTGACTTTATTTTCAACCATCAATAATTTTTCGACATAAATACTATTTTAAACCTAAGATTGAACTAATTTCAATTAATCATGGTTAATAACTTTGTCGGAATGTTCAAATTTCTCATAACACTTTAGAATAACACTTTAGAACATCATAGGAAAATTCTATTCACATCCACATCTTTTCCAAAGTATAGTCACATATTTCTTGTAATGAATAAGAATATTTTAGAGTTCCTATCATTGCCACTACAAGAATTTCGCTAATTAGTAACGGATTTTTATGACGAAAATAAGTCTGACGGTATTTAGTGTCGGAATTCAATGGGGCTGTTGCATCTGCCAATATTTAGTGGCCGATTTTTCGTCAGTAATAACCGTCAGTGAACAATGACGAAAATCGGTTCGCCACTAATATCCGTCACTAATTCAAAAAATTAAATACTCATTACCAACCCATCCTAACTCCACACACAATCCTTATCCTCACATCTAGGGGTGGACTCGGGCCGGCCCAACAGGCCCGGAACCGGACCGGCCCGCTACTGTGCGGGCCCGGCCCGGACCGGTGAACCGGTTCCGGGCCCGGTTCAGGCCAACCGGCCCGGTGGAATGGCGGTTCGGGCTCGGGCCCTTCAAAAGGTGAACCGGCCGGGCCATTTTTTTTTGTTTTTTGAATTTTTTTTAAGTTTTTGGGTTGGGCTGGGCATTTTGGGCCATTTGAGGTGGTTATGGTTGGTTTGGGGGTGTGGGGGAGGGTTGGGGATTAACTAGGAAAAGCCAAAAAAAAAAAAAATAGAACCGAGGCCCAGCCCGGCCCGGACCCGGGGGTTACCCGGGCCGGTTCCGGGCCTCCCCTTCTTGAACCGAGGCCCGGCCCGGCCTAGGCCCGAACCGGGCCCGAACCGGAACCAGTCCACCCCTACTCACATCTCACTCCACATGTTTTCTTCAGCAGCTCCAAACTCGAAATCTCAGGTTAGAATTCTTACTTTTTTTAAAATTAAAGTTATGTATTTTTATTTAATTTATAAATTAACTTATCATGTGCATATATGTTTATATAATAGAGAAGTTTTCTCCTTGTTTGTTTGATTTCCTTATTTTCTTTTGAAAAATAAAATTCAACTATATTTGTGATCATTACAAGATTGAAGATTATTGTTAGAAAATAAAATATAGGAAATTGCTTATTCAAGTTAGAAGTTAGATGTGTTGAATGAAATTCGTTAATAGATATGTGTTGTTCGTATTATTTATAAAAAAAGTGGAAATAATATAATTAAAAAAAATCTATAATGTACATGGTAACATAATTTCTAATTCATATTAATTTCTTAAGAAAAATTTCGGAACTACTTTATTCATAATATATTGCTATTTTATTTAGTTTATTCAATGAAAATGTAATTAATTAATGTATGTCGTCTTTTGTTTAGATTTCAGTATGAGTAATAATAGGTCATGGATGTACAAAAGACTAGAGAGACGAGGATGTCTAAATGATGATTTCAAGGAAGGTGTCAATGAGTTCATTCAGACATAAGTTTATATTCCAGCGGTGTCATTGCATGTCCCTGTAGAAAGTGTAAAAATCGAAAATGGTTGGCTTAGGATATTGACATATTGTTAAGCAACACCTATTTAAGAAAGGTTTTATCGATGACTATTATGTATGGGCAGCACATGGAGAGACACCCAATTCAAATGGTCTGGTTTATTTTGATCAAGCTAACTCCTCGTATTGCAATGCATCTGAGATCCAATATGATCCATACAAATCGATGTTTGAGGATGCAGTGAGGAATGAATTCCCAACAGAAAATCAAGGCGATTTTCTTGTGAATGATGAGCCTAGTGCAGCAGCAAAGAAGATGTATGAGATGCTAGATATGACGAATCAACCATGCTTTGAGGGTTGTCCAATGACTGAGTTGAGCGCAATGACTGAAATGTTGAACATAAAGACTGAGATGAATCTATCTGAGGTTGCTACAGACATGATTGCTCAATTTGTGAATAGATTTTTCCCAACTAAAATCCCCAATAGGCCTATACCAAATTTCAACAAAATAAAAAGGAAGTTATCCTTGTTGGGAATGACAAGCCAGTCTATTGACAACACATAGGCACGCCAATACACCTAAACTTTGATAGATCTTACGAGCTGTAAAATCTACTAATCTGCATTCTAATTCAATTTTCATTGACACTAAAAAGTGTTGAGCTGTGTAGCGAGTCTTCAGTGCCACCTAGACTTGTAGGAAGTTCTTGTATGAAACGAAGGGATAGCAAGTCAGCCATATCTTTGCTTCCGCGGTTCATAAGAGCACCTAATGCACCGAGAAATCCTTCGTGCCTAAAAAACAACGCCTTCGCCTCACCCTTTGACCTGTACATGGAGAGCAACATCATAATTTGACCCCAATAAATGTACACATGAAATGTATTGCTTGTAACGAGTCACTACTTTGGTGCAAACAGCAGCCCCACTCCAACCTAACCACCAAATCATGCCCCACTCAATATAATGGTGAGCTGTATTAAATTTTGGTCTAACTCACCCTAAAGGATTCTCAAGAAAATGTAAACATAGTGATTCACCAAATTTGGTGAAACAGCATTCATGCATCGTTTTTTGTTGTGATAAAAAAAAGTAAATGAAGTGGAAAATAGGAAGAATACTCTTTTTATGATGGAAAAGATTCACTATTTTTTGGCTTGAGATTATGATGGAATAAAGTAAAATGCCTCAATAAACTGTCTGCGCTTCTTTGTTATGAAGCAACAGTCAGTCCATGCAATTTTGGACGCGATTTTCACTATGGGTCATCCGGAAACAGTCTCTCTGTGCTTTAGTACAAGAATAAGACTGCGTACATCTGACCCTCCTTACCCCACCGTAAGTGGGAGCCTTTGATGTACAGGATTGGAGTAAAAAGACTGTTTGATTTGACAAAAAATGGTGTATATGGTTGGACAGATAAGGCAGTTTGATGTACAAAAAAAAGTGGGGTAAAGGTTTGAAATGATATAAAAACAGTAGTACAACATGAGTTTTGATTGGGAACGAGTATCTCAAGACATCTCTGAGCAGAAGCAAGTAATAAAGGTATTCATGAAGGGATGTCATGATATATGTGATTATATTAATTGCTCAGTAAGTAATGGGTAGGCTCTATTAATACTGATATAGGGTTTATAGAAATACCAAAAGTGAACTCCCTCGGAAATTGTATCCATTGTGTAAGCATGACCACGTATAAAAAATCCTCCAAAAAATATCCGCTTGAGCCCAAAACGCAATGCATTCAAGTAAGCAATCTGGATAAAACAGGATGAATCAGAGGAATTCAAAAAAGGGTGTAATTGTTTATCAGATTCATGTAGAGATTAGTTTACGAAAACTAATGATTCTATTATGATTCTGTATAGTTCTGCAAATATAAAGTTTTGCGTACACTTTGAGTCCATTTTGGTCTTTAACTATAATGTCTTAATATTTTACGAGTTGAAGAATCTTAACTCTTGAGAATCACTGCAAATTCTGAAAACTAGCTAGAAGGCAGAAGCTGAAATGCCAAAGATAATCTTGCTCAAGTTCCATATTCGTTTTACAACTTGCATTCTCTTTATGAATCCTCAGACTATGTGCCTACTAATTTATTCATCCTGCACGTCAAATGTCCAAATAGTACAGACTATTTTTTAATAGACAGCACCCTATCTATAAAAAATCGCTCTCTCATTAGACAGAATTATTTGAAATAAAAACTAGTTAATAAACCAACGAAGTGTATAACATTAGAACCTTTGTGGGATAACTTATGGTAAGGTTTTTTCTGATTATTCTTTACACGTGCTTCTCATTTAAGCACTTAATTAAAGTGCATTTTTTAAAGGCATCAATCTGCTACTTTCTTGGTTAAGCATTGCAAGTACTTTTAAGTAAGAGTATCAGTTAAGATCTCTTTGAGCTAACTTAGGGTACAAGTTTTTTTTTCAATTAAAAGTACTTTTTATTTTATTTTCCTGCCAAACGCTTCTTTTTGAAGTAGTACTTTTCTTCCACTAAAAATCCCTCATCCAAAAAGTATTCTTGGTCCACCCATCCATCTGTTTGGTTCTCAGTGATAGCAATATCAGGTGAGAGTGTGAGACTACCAAGAAAAATCCTCACATATACACTTCAAAGGAAATGAAGCGAATACGTAAAACTGCTTGAAGGAAAAGAGTTTGAAATTTTTTTATGTATGGAAAAGGACTTCGATGAGTGGTTTTTTTTTTCAAATACATTATATGTGTACTGCTCAAGTCAGCCAAATGGTTATCTTAAAAAAAAGTCAGTCAAGTACTCGAGCGGTCCTGCACTGAATTAGTATGTAACCTTTGTTCAAGAGTTATGGTTTGACAATTCGACTGATTTCATTTCATTTTCATTTACCCCAGTGCCGCAAAGGCTCCCACCTACGGTGGGGTAAGGGGGGGTCGGATGTACGCAGTCTTACCCCTGTACTAAAGCACAGAGAGACTGTTTCCGGATGACCCATAGAGAAGTTAAATTAGTATGTAACCTTTGTTCAAGAGTTATGGTTTGACAATTCGACTGATTCTTATTAATATTTATATTTTTCATATACTTTCAATTTCTTGGTACTTCTTAATATGATTTTCATAGAATCTAATGAAAAAATATTTGACTCAATGATCCAATTTTTAAAACATTCAACTGATACAGTCCAATATTACAATCCAAGTAACCTTGGTGACTCTAGCAGCTTTGATATTTTAAGATATAGACTTAGCTAAAAAGTGCTACCCATGTTAAGAAATGATGCAAAAGGGTATTATTACCAACCTGTGCAACATTATTGGAGATCATCCGTAACAATGAGCGGGAAATATCTTCAGGTCTGTAGTCATTCAGTTCTTTGTTTTCTGAGATCGCCTTTCCAAAGCTAGAAGCAATGGCCGTTGATGCAAGTCCTATCTGTCAGGAATGTTCAGTAAAATAAGGGAAAAACTTATGTTGGTCCATGTTGTAGTTCATATCATGCATTATAGCAATAGGAAGAAGAAACTAAGAGTCACCACCTTACACAAAAATTAATGAACTCCTGACGAAAAAATCTGCAAATCATGTAACTAATTATCCTTATGGCAAAAGCTTTGACTAGAGAGGCATAGGTCTGTTTGAGACGAAAAACAAGCTGTACAAGTATGGAGGCTCAATAATTGCTTCCCATCTTTGATTTGAAAATGACATGAACATGCTTACCAAATATCAAAAGAGATCAGTAGACACTATTTTCATTTCTTAAAGATTTGTGAGTTGAAATCTCGCCATAGCATTAATATTAATAGAATCTTTTTTGTCTTGGCTACTAAGTCTGATCCGACCAATAAGCCTCAAGACTTACCTATTCACTACTTAGGTTGAAGACCCACTTTCCAAGGGTTATCAGAATATCTACATATACGACAGAATGGTCAATAAAACCAGCAGGAGACTATTATCTTGCAGAATCAGCTTCTGTCTATCGCTGGTACACTCACTTTGAGCAAGCATGTAGCATGTTGCCAATGCTATGCCACTTGGTATTCAACCCTGGTCTTCCCCTCTACTTTCGACTTGTGGTTACAATGCAGGGGGTCTTGTGTTACTGGCAGCTGGTGCACAAGATCTCATCATGGGCCTTCGGGTGAGTGGGAGGTTAGATTGAGCTTTAGAGGTGTTGACTATGTTTGTTGTCTGGGGAGAAAACTAGGAAATACATTTATGCAAATTTTAACACAATAAGTTGGAATTTTTATTGATAATTCCACAAATTCCCTGAGACTTTTCTTGCTGACGACGTGCATACTTTCCCCTCCATTCAACTGGCCCTTAAATAGGCTTAGAGTTTCAGAAATAAAAATAAAGAAAAAACTAAAAACGAAAACAATAATTGAGAGATTGCAATCAGAAAATAATATCAAAGATCTCCAAAGATCTCAAATCCCTGATTGTGACTTTTCTATCAGATTTGTTTGATTATTTGTCTTCTAGATTTGTTTGAATTATTTGTTTCCAGATTGGTGTGATTTGCTGATTTTTAGCTTTCCTTCTTTTCCAGTAATGTTGATTCCTTATTAATGCATCATTAGTCATTACTCCCTCCGTTGAGAACTTGAGATCAAGCTTTGCCTCAAGCTTGAAGGTAGGAAAGCGAAGGCGGAACTCATTAACATTCTCTCAAGTAGCCTCATATGGTCATATGGATGCATGAAAACTCACACTACTACAACCTCCTTATGTCCCTGTTAAGACAATTGCGTAAGACCTCCTGTGGATGTGGCAGGAGCTTCCTGTTGTGAAGACTGGGTAGTGTGGGAGAATGTGCTGGTGGTGTTCCCTTAAATTCCTTAAGAAACCAAATGTGGAAAGCAACATGGACTTTACTACCCTCCGGGAGGGTCATTTGCATGCCTATTTTCCAATTTTCTTGATGATCTGAAATGGTCCAAAATACCGTGGAGCAAGGTTTAAAAAGGCGGGTTCAGGTATCAAGGCGGTTTGTTCCTAAGAGGCGAGGCGTAAGCCTTGAGGCGTAAGCCTCAAAATATATAGACATAAAACTTAAAATAGTTAGACTAGTAACAAACAACTAAAGAAGTAAAAGATATATCCATTAGTATAAGTCCAACAAGTGTGAGACACAAACACATACTCCCTCCGCCCCTTACAACTTCGCCAACTTTCCTTTTTTTGTTGTCCCACTAACTTTGTCACTTCCCCTTTTTAATAAAGAATTTGTGGTTTCAATTAATTCTATCTCCTTTGCACAAATCTGAATCACACGGTTTTTACTTTATTAATCCTCGTGCCGGTCAAACTTGACAATGTTTTAAGGGATGGAGGGAGTATGAGCTAATACCAGTAAGTCATTAGAATTCAAACACACAAACAGAAACATCACAAGCAAACACACATATCACACACAGAAACATCACACACAAACTAAAAGATGAATAGAAAGTATACGTTAAGGACTTGGGGTTTAAATGAATAAAAGACTTGTTAGGGTTTCAATGATACAAGACTTGTTAGGGTTTAGTGTGGCCACATGTTTAATTAATGGACTTCTATTTAAAAAGTACTCTGGGCCTTTTATTAAAAGAAATGCCTTAAGCCTTTTTTAAGTTACTGCACATTAAAAACAGAGAAACAAAGGAAAAATGCCTCAAAAAACACCTCAGGACGCGCCTCAAGGCATACGCCTCAACTTTTGAGGCATAAGCCTCTTAACCTGCGAAAAACACCTAAGCCCTTATACTCAATTTGTACACCTCACCTTGAGGCACGCCTCAAAACCCGCCTCTTAAGCGCCTTTTTAAACCATGCCGTGGAGATCATTTCACTGATGACGTTTGGTTATGCTGAATTGACGATATGGGTGCAGGCGAAGCCAAACCAATTGTCCTTAGTTGAGCGTAACGTATTAGTGGTTATTGTCATAAGCATGACTGCATGACGCATTATTGCTTGAGCACGTATGAGAAGATTCTGAGCATTGTGTATTTCAAAGCAGCATCTACTACTTCTACTTTGGATGATCCTCACACGTAGGAAACAAGCCTCGGCGCTTCACGCCCATAGACGACCTTGAAGAGGGAAGTACCCCAAGCTGAATGGAGAGAAGTGTTATTGTGTGGGTGATCTCCTACCGTACATCGGAGATACATATCGAGTGTGCGACTAACGGCTTCTATTTGACCCCCTGTTTGTGGATGATAAGATGAATAAATGCCAATTGTGTGTCACACAGCCTAAAGAGTTTCTTCAAGAATAAGCTTGTGTGTCACTATTGTTTCTGGCAAGCCGTGTAATTTAAAATTATTAGAAAAAAAGGAATGAGCCACCAATGTTGTTATGTAAGGATGTGACAATGCCATAAAGTGAGATTATTATGATAATTGATCCACCACCACATACATAACTCTAGTTTAATTTCGACCTTAGGTAACCCGTCAATAAAATTCATTGAAATATCAGCCATATGTGTTCTGGAATTGGCAGGGATTGTAGTAAACCTACTTGTGCAAGTTTTACCATTTATTTGTTTGGCAAATGGCACAATTGCTGACGAAGTCCGGTACATAAGATGCCACGCCCTCACAATATAATTCCTTTTTGAGGCGATGCAGTCTTTTGAATCACGTCAAAGTAGCACTATGGACTGCTTCGAGGATGGTAGAAATATAATCAATCTTGGGAGTGGCCTCTTGTCAAAATTTTGACAGATGAAAGTTTGCCCCTTATACATCCTTGTGGTGGGACCTTCCCCAGACCCTCGCCTTGTGGGGATGCTTTCGTGCACCAGGCTGCGCTTTAATAGACCACGTCATCTCAGACAGTCCATTTTCCAATTAGAATAATCCCCTTGTTCTGTTTTGTTGAAAACAATTTGGCCTTCCTCGAAGTGCTAATAATCCTTTCTCAAATCCTTCCTCGGTGAATGCCACAAGGATTGCTTGATCAGCATCCCTCTGTGATAGAGCATCTGCCGCTCTATCCAATTTTCCAGGTTTGTATTTGACTTCAATATCAAAACCCGAGTTTACTCATCCCATGTTATTGTGATGAGATTGTAAGACGTTGTTGCAGCAAGTATTTTAGGCAGTAATGATCAGTTCCAATCATGAAAGAGCGACTTCAAAGGTAGTGCCTCCAATTTCTTATTGCTTGTACTCAGCTTATTACTTCCTGCTTATATGCTGGCAACTTAAGGTGGCAACCACTTCTTGCTGAAGAAGACAATGGGATGGTTTCCTTGTTGTAGAACTGCTCCAATATCCACCCCTGATGCATCAGACTCAATGAAAAATGGATTGGACAAGTTGGGTAGTCACAATACTGATGAAATGCACATAGCAGTTTTGAGCTTGTCAAGTGCTATCTAAAATGCATTGCAACGAAGGAGAGAAGTTAAAGGAGTTGCATGCACTCCAAAGTTCTGGATAAAACGTCGGTAAAAACCGGCTAGGCCAAGGAATCCCCGAAGAGCAGTGGTTGTGATATGTATAGGCCAATCAATGATCGCTAGAATTTTTGAATTATCTTCTGCCATCTAATTTTCAGTAATCACATGTCTGAGATAAGCTACGTTTAGCACACCATAAACACATTTCTGCCTTTTGAGTACAATTGATGAGTATCAAGCAATCCAAATACAATTCTAATGTGTTGCAGATGCTCCACCCAAGTATGACTCTAAATTAATATAACTTTGAAAAAGGCCAAAACAAATTTATGAAGACGGGCCCGAATGCCTCATTCATAAGTGCTTGAAAGGTGAACGGTGTGTGTTACTGATAGAGAGCACGAGCTTGGCTCGGAGGAAGAGAAGCAGAGGCCCCTGTGGGTTTACTGACGGCAGGGACGGGCTGGTTGTGGGCCGTTTAATTAATTTTATTCTTTATAATTTTCGTGATTTGTTTCCTATTTGGAGTTAATTAGGATTTCTTTTATTTTTTTCCTATTTAGAGTTAATTAGGATTTCTATTATTCTGTTTCCTAATTGGAGTTGATTAATGTTTCTATGATTTTGTTTCCTAGTTTGGGAATTAATAGATGGGTATTTAAACCCCTTGTTAGGATTCATTCTTGTTTATCAGTTAATAGAATTGGATTTCAGCCTATTGGCTTTGGGCAATGATTCCTACCGTTGACTATTACTTTTCTATTCTCATCAGTTGCACAGGCCAAATGGTATTATAAGGAATTCAAAATCTCCATGGTGGGTGCGGAATGCTGTTTTCTCAACATCTTCTAGGCTCATATGCATTTGATGATACCATGAGTGCAAGTCAGTCTTTGTGAAGGATTGGGATCAATGAAGTTCGTCTAAGAGCTCATCAATTACTAGAATGGGAAATTTATCCTAAACAATTTGTGTATTGAGTTCCCGATAATCTTCACAAAAGCACCTTTAGTTGTCACTTTTTTGCAGCGTGGAGAGGAAAATGGGCTTTGACTTGGCTGAAATTGTCCTCTTGTGAGCTTCTCCGAACACTGTTACTCAATTTCATCCTTTTGCAATTGTGGTTAGCAATATGGTCATACAACAACAGGATTTGTCCCAGCTTTGATAATAATGTGGTTATCAGAATTTCGTGTTAGAGGCAGTGCCAAAGGATCAGAATAAATGGAATCAATGTAATCCAAAATCTCCTCCATTGTTTGGTCAGTAAAAATTGTAGGATGCATAGAGCACATAGTAGTGTGATCTGGAGCTGCATCTCTTGTCCAAGTAATGATTCTTCCATGTATGGCAAAGCAACCCTTTGCTCCCTAAAATTACACATGATAACACCCAATTACTACAACCATTTTACCCCAAGGATAATACCAAACCCTGCTATCAGTAAGACAAAAAGATAATCAGGAATGCTGCACCAGCCTTAATAAGTCTCACTCGTTCGCACACACCTGTACTGAGTAGCTTTTCTCCATTAGCCACTACCACATGAAACCCTTGACGGGGTGTTATCGGCAACATGAGTGAGAGGGCAGTTTGGCCCATTGGACAAAATTCTGTGTGCTCACTGAATCAATCATTGCAAAGACATAAGTACTGGCCCATTGGACTTGCACTTGGAGTGTATTGGGGTGATGAACTCCAGCCATGACATAAAGGGAAACAGTGGGCTCAGTGTGACATTCATACCCTTCCTCGTCGTCATCATACATCCAAAGGCAGAATAGTCATTTGCATATATGCCCTGGTACATATATTTAATCACAGTTGCAACAAAGACCCTTCACTCATCGTTCTGCTGCTTCAGCTTTGGACAGCCCCTTCATTTATGGAGAAGGGGCTGATCCAGTTGCTGAGGGTCCTAGAATTGCTGGTAGTGGTGTGGTAGTGGTTGCCTTGTTGGCGGGTAGTGCACTGTCTTGGGAGGCGGCCACAAAGTTATGGGCTTGTGGAAACCCTAGTAGATTTGGGCTTAGCCCATTTTGTATATGTTTGTATATGGAACCCTAGTGCTCAAAATATAGCTATAAATATAGCTTCTTGTATAGCATTTGATATCAAGTATTCAAAGCTGCAACTTTCTCGCGAACAGTCTTGCCTCACTTGTCAGATTCAATGGTTTTATGTATTTCACATCTATGTGCAACACCTCATCTAATCTAACTGCAAAAATTGAAACTTGGTATTCCATACTGAGTGGTGGAACACGTGCTGGGCTGTTTTGAGACTCTGTGATGTCCTCCTGAATTGGACGTCCTTGTCATTTTAGATTTGTCAAATCCCCTAATGGATTTGCACCACAAGGGAGACCAAATTTGTGAGTGCAGATTACTGTAAAAGATTCCCAAGAAATATGGGGTTGGTCTTGGCGTAGGTGGTCATACCACAACTGAGCATCTCCAGTGATCTCCAGTGAGATAGTAAACAGCCATAGGGATTTGTTTTGCTGGGGAACGTCCGAACGTTCTGATTCGTGAGGAATAACTCACAATGATAAAGCCACTGAGCAGATGTTTTGTTCCAGAGAAAAGGGGAAACTCGAAGTGTGATCCATGAGTAGTAGTCCTGTGAGTCATGCTGTCGAGTGCAGGTAGTCAGGTACAACCTCTTGACCAACATTGGTAGCCTCTATTGTTTCAGTTTTACCTCTGTGTGCAAGTAGTTTTTCCATCAGCAGTTCGAGGCAATCTATGGATATTTTCAAATTGGAGACTTCTTCCTTTGATGCAAACAAACTATTGCCAATGACACTGGCGACGGAACAAATGTTACTGGTGGATTGTGTGCAAGATCTCGTCATAGGCCTTCAGGCGAGTGGGAGGGCAGGTTTAGCTTTAGAAGGATTGACAATGTTTACTCTTTTGGGAGAAAACTAGAAAGAAAATAATTATGCAATTTTTTTAACACAATAAGTTGGAATTTGTATTGAGAATTCCACAAACTCCCTGAGATTTTTCTTGCAGAAAACTTTCATATTTTTCCTCTCCATTCAACTGGCCCTTAAATAGGCTTTAAATAGTTTCAGAAATAAACTAAAGAAAGCAACTAAAAAAGAAAAAAGTAATTCAGATATTGCAATCAAAAAATAATTTCTAAGATCTCCAAATATCTAAAATCCCTGATTGTAAATTGCCTATCAGATGTCTTCGATATTTGTTTGATTTATTTGTCTTCCAGATTGGTGCGATTTTTCTGTGTGATTTGCTGATATTTAGCTTTCCTTCTTTTACGGTGATACTGACGCCCTACGAATGCATCACCTTGGTGCTCGTTTTCCGGGCATTCTTTATGTTGTTATGTGGTTTATGTGGAAGGATAGGAATGGAGCAAAACATAAAGCAATAGTATCTCTAAAGATAGAATCTTTATAGAAGTGGAAGGATTTTGGTCATACTTATCTAGACAAAGTTAAAAAGATTCGGAGCCTTGACATCTGCAGGCGAAGGAAATTTACTCGGACAAACTCCCAGAGGATGTCATCAAATTCAATGTCGAGTCCTGCACTACTAAATCTGGGAGCAACCATGGGGGGAGGGTGCGTTGCTATTAATTTCAGAGGATAAAGTGATGTTGACTTGTTGTAAAGATATATGATAAAAGCTCTACTTGTGGAAATGCAGGCCTTCTAGAGAGGGATCAAACAGGCTCATAAAAAAAGGTGGGAAGAAGATTTGGGTAGAGAGCTTGATTCATCTTATGGTAAATATCTGATATGTCATCACAGGAGAAAAGGTCAACGGGAGTTCCAGTTTTGGATGAGCGAATTGTGGCTATAAAAAGGAATTTTTCTGGCTGATGAGTTTACCAAGATGGGCCGAATTGTGCAAGAATTGAAGGCCTTGTCATCGAGGGATGCCAGCAGAAAAGCCAAGGCTGTAGGCCTGTAGCTTTGCCTGCGAGTTTCCTTGGATTAGGAGTTTGGTGATTAATAATATCCGATTCTGTAGTGCGAGTTAACATAAACCCCAACGTACAAATCAACTTAGATCCTTCAACTGTAGGATGAAGCATGTAAGAGAGGCATCGTTCTATATTTCCATGCAAATACATCATTTAATACAAAACCATCAACATTATTACTCAAAATCCAAATGAACTTCTTGTGTTTAGATAAGATAGACTACCAATACTAGCTATGTTAAAAAACTACTCCCTCCGGTCCTAAATAAACTTCACACTTTGACTTCACACAAATTAAGGAAATAAATTTGACTTTACTGTAGAGTACACTGTTGTGACACTGTTTGGCACTGTTTTGCACTGTTTTGATGTAGATAATTTGCCAAATAAGGAAGGGAGAAGAAGTGTGAAGTTTATTTTGGACCTACCCAAAAAGGAAAGTGTGAAGTTTATTTAGGATCGGAGGGAGTAGTAAATAAAAAGAAGCGTGACCTCACCCTCGAATAATCTGTTCCATAAATGTCTCCGACAAGCATGTCTACAACCCTGTTATTCCCTTCATGACTCAATTCCAGTAACTCATCAAAACTGCACAAAAGGATTCTAATTTCAGACAGAAACCAGTTAAAAAAGCCTAAAACCATACGAATAAAAGGAAAATGTCAGCTCACCTCTTGCACTGGGTCAAAAGCTTTCCCAAGCCCCAAAAGGTGCCACCTCCAACACTAGTCCCACTTACTCGTTCAAACTTGTGGTCCCGATCCACCTAAGGCATAAAATTAAATGCCAATCCCCCAAATGTACATGAATAAGAATACTCAAGCCTTCAAGGATGAATGTCTGACACAGATTACAATCGTTGGCTTAAGCAGGCAAGAAAGAGTGTACCTTTATCATGCTAACACCAGATCCAACATTGACAAGCAGATAAGGATATAAATCATTTTGATCAATTTGCACATACTCTTTTTTACTGCTCATGTGTGTAAAAGCTTCATGCTGGACTGCCTGGTTAAAAAAGAACTTTAGCTTACAATTAAGGTAATGACATTGGGAATACTAGATTGTAGATAAAAAATGTCATATGCAATTTTCTGTAGTTAGAAATAGAAACATGGGATGCATGGAAGAATAGTAGGAATTTAACATTATTAGAGTAAAGAACAGTAAAAGTAACATCGTTATTTAACATCCCGTAAAATAACATAAAACTGCCCCCACCTTAAGCAGAAAATTTGCTCCTGCAACAAGACAATCCATTTCATCCACCTTGTCCAGAGTCATTCCAAGCTTTTCTTTGAATAAATTAGCAAACTTGAATGCACCTCCTCCAGTGGCCTTCAAAACAACCACACATTATTATTTTCTATCTTGAACTTTGTTAACAACAGTAAACTTGTCCTAGATTGAAAGAGAAAAATCCCCATTTTGGATCTATAAGTTCAACATGGTTAGGTTCTAAAATTATGATTCCACTGACATTTCCACCCTAAAAGATCAAACCTTAAAGGCAATCCTTCGAGAATAACCTGAGGAAGTTAAAATCAATGACCAGAGCACATTCTTAGTAACACTTTTTATTTTTTATTGTTTCCGCCTAAAAGAAAAAAGCATTTCTACTTATACATGAGCTCTCAGCTAACATTAGAGCAAAGTTCTCCATATGATAATACAAAGATGCGTATTATTATTTACCTTAATGATGACATTCTTGTTTCTGTCATGCGCCTCCTGACATCTACCACCTGTAATTGCCTTAACCTTTGAACACTAAACTCACTTGACCCGAAAGAAAACATATCTCTATAAGGATGTGTGAAGACAATAAGACATAAGCTAACCACTTTAAAAAAATAAAAATCACTTCTCATTACTCAAAAAAGTTGTTTAACTGATCTCCATATATAACCACACCATACACCAAGACCCAAGCTCTGTTAAGGATGTTTTCTTTTGGACTGAAATTTGCTGGTCTAGTCTGGTCTGATCGGGTCTGTTTAAGTTTGGTCTGAACTGGTATGGTCTCTGTGTATTTTATAACTATCCAAGTCTGGTTTGGTCTTGTCTGGTCTGTTTAAGTCTGGTTTGACCTGATCTGGTCTCGGACTAAAAATGATCCAAAAGAAAACATCCTAAGATGACAGTCAAAATTCCCAAAGCAAAAAGCCACAACTTTGGTTCTTCTCACGTGGTGAAAAGGCGATACAATTTCATACATTCCACAAAATACGCGTGGTGCAAGTAACCATTTCAAATTCATAATTCAAGTGTGTAACACTCCCAACTCAAAACTTGTAGAAGACTGCATCTAGTTAACTGGCCGGAGCTTCAATAAAGGATCATCATTGTCATCATGATACCAATAGTACCTTTACAACAACAACATCTTAGCCTTATTCGCAAAAGAAGTCGGCTAACATGAATTGATCCATGATAACAGAGCCAAAAGTGAAGAAAGATAAGAAGAATAAAAAGATAAAGTAAGATAAAATGGATAAGATAAATAAATATTAGGTAAAAATAACATAAGAACATACACAAGATTAAAGATACAAAGATACAAGAGAATGACAAAAATAGAAATAATATAAGAACATAGAAAGATAAAGAAGATAAAAGATAAAAGAAAGGAGGTAAAAGCAAACGAGGGGGAAAGAGAAAAAAGAGATTACTCATCCACACGAATATGATCCCTCCACTTTGCCCTCTCCAAAGTCATACTCTCATCCAATCCAAGAAAAAAACATATGAGTTCTGACTCATCTAATCCAAGTGTTTGGGTCTTTCTATCTCTCTCCTCCCCACCTCTTCTCCCCACCTCTCAAATCGTCTAACAGGTGCATCACTCGGTCTTCTGAATTATGGAACCCAAGTAAAGGAACATATCACACACTGGTATCTCCTTTCCATCCAAGATAATCTCACTGTTACTACTACTTCTACCTCCACCAAACTTGCACTCCATATACTCAGTCTTGTTTCGGCTCAGCCTGAAACCTTGGTACTCCAATGTTTGTCGTCATACTTCCAACTTTGCTTTAGCCACGGTAGATCTTCTTGAATTGATTTTGTAAGTTCATCCATGACTATAACAAATAGGAAAGGACTCTCGATCCTTGGTGCACTCCGATAGTAATACGGAACTCAACGGTCCTTCCTACACTAATACGAACACTTGTAGTACAAGTCTCATACATATTCCTGATGACACCGATATACTTACGTGATATGCCTTTTCTAAGTCAATGAACACCAAATGTCAATCCTTTTTAGTGTCTCTATACTTCTCCACAATCTGTCTATGAAGGTGAATGGCCTCAGTTGTTGAGCGTCTAGGTATAAAACCGAACTGATTTTCTGAAATTTTCACACTTTTTCAGAGTCTTTGGTCAATCACTCGCTCCCAAAGTTTCATGGTGTGACTCGTAAGCTTAATCCCTCGATAGTTGGCACATTCTTGCACATCACCCTTATTTAGGGATGAGAGTACTTTCCCGTCAACTCACTATCATTGTGTTGCTTCTCCAAATCATGTTGAAGAAACGTGTTATCCACTCGGTGCCTTTCTCTCCCAAACTTCTCCATACCTCGATTGGGATGCCATCTGGACCCAATGCTTTCTTTCGCCCCATGTTTCTCATAACCTCTTTAACTTCTGTCGTTTGGATCCTTCTCACAAAATCCCGATTTACCGGTATAGAAAGGTCATTGTAGATTATTACGGATAATTACTCATCCGATTTAGCATTTATGAGGAGATATCTTAGAGATCTCAGAATCTCTAAATATCCCCAATTATCTTGTCTTTATTAGGGAATCTTAATTAGGAGGATTCCTTCCTTCTTCCACTTTTCTCTAGCTATATATATTCTGTATTCATCTCATTGTATTACACAGAATAAGAGAAATAAAATACATTTTACTTTCTCAAGTTATTTCTACATGGTATCAGAGCGTGGTTATTCTCTAAAATGATTAAGTTCGGATCTTATGGGATGACCACCGAGAGAGATGGATCTATCCCAGTCACCTCTGAACATTCAGAGGTTGTCCCAACTGGAGATGGCAGCAACCAGAATATCAATGGAAGCACAGTCACCACTCCTAATCAGTCAGATTCGATTATTACTTGCCATAAACTGAATGGTAGTAATTATCTACAATGGTCTCAGTCCGTTATGATGTATGTGTGTGGAAAAGACAAGGAGGACTATTTGACAGGTGATGCACCTGCTCCAGATCAAGGAGATCCAGGCTACAAGAAGTGGAAAAAGAAGAATTATACTGTGATGTCATGGCTCATCAATTCCATGACAACCAGTATAGGAGAAAATTTCCTACTATACAAAACAGCTCAAGAGATCTGGAAGTCTGTGAAAGAAACATACTCAACTTCAGATAACACTTCTGAATTATTTGAGGTTGAATCAATGCTACATAACCTGCAACAGGGAGAATTGAGTGTAACTCAATACTTCAACCTTGTGAGACTCTGGCAGCATCTTGATGTGTTTGAGACATACAATTGGTCATGTTCTAAGGATAAGAAGTTATATCAGGAGATCTGTGAAAGGAAGAGAGTCTTCAAATTCCTGTCAGAATTAGACAAGAGTCTAGATGAGGTTAGGGGCAGAATAATGGGAAAGAAACTCACCCTTAGAGAAGCCTTCTCAGAAGTCAGAAGAGAAGAAAGCAGAAGGAAGGTAATGATGGGTCTGAAATCTCAAGGCCAACAACAAAATATTGAAGGGTCAGCCTTATATACCTCTTCCAGACAAAATGAAAACAAGAAAAAAGGGAGGCCATGGTGTGATCACTGTAAGAAACCAGGCCATACCAAAGAAACATGCTGGAATTTGCATGGTAAACCTAAAGATTTCAAACCAAGCAAAGGGAAAGGAGCCTATGTAGCTACTAGAGATAAAGAAGATATGGGCACTTCTAATCTTGCTGCATTTACCAATGAGCAGATTGAGGTTCTTCAACATCTAATAAGTCAGAGCAAGGGGCCTGCACCATCAACTAGCCTTACTGCTCAGACAGGTAATGCCCTAACAACCCTAGTTGCACACAATCAGCCCTATTGGATTGTTGATTCAGGGGCATCAGATCACATGACTGGAGAAAGTAAGTTTTTTGCTGAATTGATCCCTATGAAGAATAAGGTAACTGTGAAGATTGCTGATGGAACTACTTCAGCAATAAAAGGGACTGGAAGAGTCAAAATTTCTGATAAGATAGTGCTTAACAATGTGTTATATGTTCCAGATTTAAAGTTTAACCTCTTATCAGTCAGTAAACTGAATAGTGATACACATTGCCTAACTAAATTCTCTTCACAATTGTGTGAATTTCAGGATTTGGATTCGGGGAGGATGATTGGCAGTGCTAAGCAAAGTGGTGGACTCTATCTTCTGGAACATTCACCACATTCACCCAACTCCACCAACAAGACAACTTTCAGTGAGAGTCAATTCAACCATAAGTTCTTAGGGAGTCTTAGTAGGAGTCAATTTGATACTCAAATTCAGTTATGGCATTATCGTCTTGGTCATCCTAATGTCTTGTACTTAGAAAAAATATTTCCTTCATTATTCATAAATAAAAGTTCTGCCTTTGATTGTGAATTTTGTCAACTTGCTAAACATACTAAAAGTCATTATCCCAGTCTACCTTACAAACCATCTAAACCTTTTTCTCTCATCCACAGTGATGTTTGGGGCCCATCTAAGGTCAAAAATCTCACTGGCTCAAGGTGGTTTGTTCTGTTTATTGATGATCATACACGTCTATCCTGGGTCTTCCTCATGAAAGATAAGTCAGAAGTCAATATTATCTTTCAAAAATTCTATTCTATGATCAAAACTCAGTTTCAAACCAAGATTCAGGTTTTTAAAACTGATAATGCCAAAGAATATTTCTCATCCAATTTAGGAGAGTTTCTGTCAAAAAAGGGGATTATACACATTAACTCCTGTGTTGACACCCCACAACAGAATGGGGTGGCAGAAAGGAAGAATAGACACTTACTGGAAGTTGTTAGAGCCCTTATGTTCACCACTCACACTCCTAAACACTACTGGGGAGAGGCTGTCCTAACTGCAGCTTACCTGATAAATAGGATGCCCTCCAAAACTCACAATTTTAAAACACCATACCAAATCCTATCTTATCTACATCCTCACATCCCTATTACCAATCTTCCACCAAAGGTCTTTGGTTGCAAAGCATTTGTTCACAACCATTCTCCAGTTAGGTCAAAACTGGATCCTAAATCCTTACCTTGTATATTCATAGGATATGCTACCAACCAGAAAGGATATAAATGTTATTCTCCTGCCAACAAAAAGGTCTACATCACAATGGATGTAACCTTTTTTGAAAATCAGCCTTTCTATTCCAAAACTGAATTTCAGGGGGAGAACCACAATGAAATCCAGTCTTTGAATCCTATTTCAGACACTATTCCAGACCTCCAAGAATCTGAATCTAACCACACTGAATCCATACTCCCAGACAGACCTGAATCAAACCCTCCAGACAATACAGTCTCTCCACCAACCACACCATTTCAGCCACCAACTTTATCACCCCAATCATTACCCCAAAATCCTACACTAAATCAAAATTCCCCATTCTACAAGAATACCTATAAGCGGAAACCTAGAACCAGAGTTCCAGAAGAAGAGCACATCACTCCAATTAACACCACACAATCATCTGACTCAAATTTGAGTCCTGATGACAAAGAGGTTGAGGCTATAGAAGGAGATGATGAGGAACCAGACTTGCTTATTGCTATCAGAAAGGGAGTAAGGGAGTGTACCAAGCATCCTATCTATAATTTTGTTTGTTATAAGAAACTATCAGCAAACTATCAAACTTTTATTTCAAAGATTGATAGTATTCAGGTTCCTAACAACATCAAGGAAGCCCTTGAACATCCAAGGTGGAGGAAGGTTGTCCATGATGAATTAGCAGCATTGAAGAAGAATGGAACTTGGGTGCTTACAGATTTGCCAGCAGGGAAGAGAACAGTTGGCTGCAAGTGGGTATTTACAGTTAACTATCAGGCTGATGGAAAGATTGAAAGGCTGAAGGCAAGGCTGGTTGCTAAGGGGTTCACCCAAGCTTATGGCATTGATTATTCAGAGACATTTGCACCAGTGGCAAAGTTGAACACCATTAGAGTGCTGTTATCACTCGCAGTGAACCTAGATTGGCCATTACATCAACTAGATGTTAAGAATGCCTTTCTTAATGGAGACCTAGAAGAGGAAGTATTCATGGATGTACCACCTGGATTAGAAGACTTGGGGAAATTTGGTCAGGTTTGCAGACTGAAAAAGTCCTTGTATGGACTAAAGTAGTCTCCTAGAGCATGGTTTGATAGGTTCACAAGATCAGTTTTTAAACAAGGGTTCATGCAATGTCAGGCAGACCATACACTGTTTGTAAAGAGAGCAGACTCTGGAAAATTGGCTATTCTTATAGTATATGTTGATGATATTATTATGACTGGGGATTATAAGGCTGAATTGGACAGATTGAAGGCTCATCTAGCAAGAGAATTTGAGATCAAGGAGCTAGGCGAGTTGAAGTACTTCCTGGGAATGGAAGTGGCAAGATCTAAGAAGGGCATTTTCATTTCACAAAGGAAATATGTTCTAGACTTGCTAAGTGAAACTGGAATGCTTGGGTGCAAACCTATGGACACTCCTATGGATATATCAAAGAAGTTAGGCAGTGAGACTGAAAGTCCACCAGTTGATAAGGGTAGATATCAAAGGCTGGTAGGGAAGCCAATCTACCTATCTCACACACGGCCAGACATTGCTTTCTCAGTAAGTGTGGTAAGTCAATTCATGAATGACCCAACCGAGGAACACCTAACTGCAGTGTATAGAATTCTGAGGTACCTAAAAATGACTCCTGGAAAAGGATTGTTGTTTCAGAAACAAGGGACAAGGAAGATTGAAGTGTTTACATATGCTGACTGGGCTGGAAGCCTCTTAGACAGAAGGTCAACTACTGGTTACTGTACCTATGTATGAGGTAATTTAGTCACCTGGAGGAGCAAGAAACAATCAGTGGTTTCTAGAAGTAGTGCGGAATCTGAGCTCAGAGCTTTAACACAAGGAATCTGTGAAGGATTGTGGTTAAGAAGATTGATGAATGAGCTCAAACTCCCATTTGAAAGCTCCATCCAGATCTCATGTGACAACCAGTCTACTATCAGTATTGCTAAGAATCCTGTTTATCATGACAGGACCAAACACATTGATATAGACAGAAGGTTCTTATCAGAGAAGATTGCAACAAAGGATATCCAGCTGAACTATGTTCCAACCAGACGGCAAATAGCGGATATACTCACCAAGGCACTTCCCAGAATTCAGTTTGAAGACTTATCTAGCAAGCTGTGCATGGATGATATCCATCACCCAGCTTGAGGGGGAGTGTAGATTATTACGGATAATTACTCATCCGATTTAGCATTTATGAGGAGATATCTTAGAGATCTCAGAATCTCTAAATATCCCCAATTATCTTGTCTTTATTAGGGAATCTTAATTAGGAGGATTCCTTCCTTCTTCCACTTTTCTCTAGCTATATATATTCTGTATTCATCTCATTGTATTACACAGAATAAGAGAAATAAAATACATTTTACTTTTTCAAGTTATTTCTACAGTCATCAATACCTTGCACTTTATTCCCATTGAATAAGGTATCAAAGTACGACTTCCACCTCTCTTTTATTTCCTCGTCCTCCAATAGTACCCTTTGATCGACATCCTTCACACACTTAACTTTTTCGATATCTCAAGTCCTATGATTACGAAGGCGAGCAAGTCTGTAAATATCTTTTTCTCCTTACTTAGAGTCCAATCTTACATACAATTTCTTTAATTGTCTAAAATTAATTCACACTACAAATACATTCCCAACACAATCATTTACGAAATGCATCATTATCCAACAAAAGATTTGATGTGCTATATATGTAATATGTATCTATATACACACATGTGTGTATTACCAAGAACACATACCACTGAAGTTAATTTGCTTTGACGAGAGAAATTTTATGCAGTCATCAATCTTGACTGTCTCAAACTTCACAAACTGGAGATTGCCATGTAAAAAATGGCAGTTCACGTCACCATTTGAGATTTTCATTTCCTTTGTTAAGCCCACTCCATCAGTATCAAAAGTGCAAGTACTGTGACTTGAGAAGTAAACTAGCTTAATTAGAGAACCTGCAAAAAAGAGGGTGACCCGGAGGAAGATAATGATATAAAAATGATAAAACATCAAAGAAGCTAATAATTGAAATTCATCACTATCATTTAATCAATGAGTGTTCTAAAAAGTGCTGGCCGGACTCAGTTGGAGACTAGGGTGTAGCTCTCGGTAAGCATAAAGTAGCCATATGAAGAAAGAAAACAAGATCAACCCTCTTTATATTCAACAAGATTCTCAAAAACAAACCCAGGACACCTCATCAATCTCGCACTAAAGCATACAGTCAAAGAAAGGCGTCCCTACTTTCTATTCTCCCTTGTGATTAAGGTACCCTTCAAAGAGAAACACTCAATTCAAAGAAAAACGAAAGGTCAAATCATAAGAGGAGCAAAAACAAAATCGCTTATTCTTGGTGAAATGAGAAACATTGAGAAGTGGTGGATAAGAAAAGCAAAAAAATTACGTAAGATATTTTACAAAAAGGGGTGCAGATTTGTAATTACCTCCAATGTCAATAGCCACATGTAAAATCAGATCAGAGTTGGAGTCAAGAGAGTTCCTTTCCATCTTTCAGTGTCGTTTCTACAAATTCCCAAGCCTCTCAATAGTTTTGTTTCATCCCGATTAAGCTTCCAATTTATTTAGTATATAAAACACATCATCAAGAAAGTCTGCTTATAATGGTGCTCCTTTGTGAAGCTCATGCCAACCTACCCCCACGGCCAGGAAGGTGTGTTTAACCATTTCCATTTTCAAAGCATGTACTCTAATTCTTGGCGGCTTCTATGTTTGGCCTTATCATTTGGATTTGGATTTACGAGTACTTCTTTTTTAAAAGGGTCTCTCAGATATTAAAAATGTGTCACACACCCATTTATTATAATTATTCATGCACAAATTCTTTCTGTGGATAAATTTAATTTTCAAAAAAATGAAAAATGATTAGTTTATTTGTATAATTTAGAGATTTTGACAAAGTTACTAGCATGTTAAACCATATTATTAAGAAAAATGATTTCAAAATTGTAAAATTTGTTCTTGAAGAGGGTTCTGCGCATGAATAATTATAACACAGTGGGGTTTGATGCATTTTTTAAATCGCATAGAGCTAGCGTGCCGAATTTATATTTCACGAGAGGGATTGTTGAAACATTTTTGAACATTTTTGAACACTCATAAGTACTTCCGCACTTTCGCCTAGGCCTGGGACCGGTTCAGTTCATAGGCAAAATAGATGGAACCATTTGAAAAATATCAAATCTTAATAACGGTTCGATTCTTATAAATTTTTTAATATAACCGATATGGAACCGAAACATTCTTAACGGTTCGGTTCTTGTCATTTAACGGTTCCTTATTTTAAAAAATTATTACAAATCACCGTTAAATTTGTGCCAAAAACACATTCAACGCTTGAAATTATAAGAAATACAAATATGTTTACCATCATTTTAATCCTCAAAAGTTGAGTTTAAAACACAAATACACATCAAACTGAAATTTTTAGTAAATAAAACATAACAACATATTCACTTCAATCCTCGTAATTATTTTCAATTTATCTTAATTTTAATATCATTCTATTCTTTAATTTTAAGTATCGATTTGTAATAATTTATTCTCTAAATTTTATCGTCTATTTGTAATCACTTTAGATATGTAATCATTTGCGGTTCAATAGAACTTTTATTATAGTTCGTAGATCTATAACTTTTACAAAACAAATTGACAAGGATGAATTCTATGTTCAATCAACCTCATAACTCATTTTTTCAAAACAAATTGGAATGAAGGGAGTACACTACATTATTGTTATTTCTTGTAGTTGTGCATGACTAAAGAATAGTATGAAATTTTAATGTGAAGATTTTGACTGTGTTCATGTTATATGCATATGATGTTTTTGTTATCACGATTTCATAATATCTTACTCACAATATAAAGTGAGTGTTCATACATATAATTAAAATATTGAATTTGAAACACAATTCACATTATGATTTAATGCACACTACGAATAACAATAAAGCACATTATGTAGATGTTACAAATTAATTAAATGTTGTAATGTAAAAGTATGAATGATTTCTTACATTGTATGAGCATTTGCATCATTTAATGAGTTAAACAATGTTTTAAAAGTAATGTTAGCATTTATTGTTCGAAAACATCATCTCCAACTTTCTTAAGGATAAAATTTGTTGTCTTATTTGAAATCACATTAAGAATATATTTTTGGATAGGTGAAGAAGTCAACTAGTGATTTCCTGATGCATTTCGCATTACTACTTTTGAATCATCTTCATTATGATCAGTAAGGAATGTTAAGAGTTCAAGAGAGTTCCCCCAATTATTTGATTCACAAACTCATCATGTCCATACAAAAGCAAACCTTGTCTCAAAAGCATCATATATAATCGGTGGATACACTTAAACACAAGGTATTCTTTCTTCATTTGCTCGGAATAGGGGTGGACTCGGGTCCGGGCCGGGTCCGGGTCGGGCCTAGGCCCGGGCAGGCCGGCGGTTCAAGAATGGTGGACCCGGGACCGGCCCGGGTAGCCACCGGGTCCGGGCCGGGCCTACGGTTTGTTTTTTTTTTTTGCTTTCCTAACCCCCCCCCCCCCTCACCCTCCACCCTCCACCCTCCCAACCCCCCCCCCCCCCCCCCTCACCCATCCTACCCATCAAGCCCAATCCGGGTGGAACCCCAAAAATGAAAAAAAAATGAAAAAAATTCAATTTGGCCCCGGCCCGGCCGGTTCACCAAATTTGAGACCCGAGCCCGGACCCGCCCTACCCCCGGGCCTAGGCCCGACCCGGACCCGGACCCGAGAACCGGGCCGGTCCCGGTCCCGCACAGTAGCGGGCCGGGCCGGTCCACGGGCCAGGTGACCCGACCCGAGTCCAACAATAGCTCGGATTGTTTTTCCATACAAACTTCAATGTGTGAGTTTTGTTTCATTAGATCTCAACAGCAATGAGCACATCTCCCATGAACACTATTTTGCTTTCACGTGCCCTCTAAGCTTCTCAACCCCCTTTTTCAATTACTACCTCCGGCCCACTAATATTAGGACAATAGGTTCATGAACAAACATATTAACAAATGGAAACTACAACTTTAAGTTATAAATGTACACACTAAAGCAACAAATTGGAGAGCAATGTAAAGCGCCAGAAGAAGTGATGTACACGAGCAATTCCTGCTTTACCACCCTTTGGATTCTCGTTAAAAACAAACTCCTTAAAGAAAAATATTGAAAAACGAATTGTACAATGCTCTTCAATTCAACTTGGAAAAGTATGACTTCTACAAACAAGAATCTCACCAAGAACTAGATTTTGATTTTTTTCAGTTGTAGAAAAACATATCATCAATAGAAAACAATTAACTAACTTTTGAAAAAATGCCTCGAACTATGATTTGGCTTCTTCTGCACGCTCCTGAAATATAGATACAGTGCTTTTTCATGATTATCATCAACTAAACCTACACTTTTGTGATCACAAATAATTTCACCAAACCAATTTACAATTGCATCAGTTCCTGCTGGTTTTCAATTGATTGCCGAAGAATCAATTCAGCTCTCCTCTTTTTATCATCTTTATTATCATCATCTTTCCTGAACCATGATGCTCCTCTTCTAGAACCACCATTGTTCCAAAGCCTCACATCCAAAGAATCACCTAAAACCTTCTTACCAGGTTTGAACTCCAAACACAAAGCAGGTAGCCTTTTGTAGGTAACATTTTTTTTCTCTGTCCCATTTCCCATCTCAGAAATGCCGTCTTTAATGGCCTCGATTGCAGGAGAAAAAGTCTGTAGTAAAGAGGTGTGGTGCTCGTTGGCAGACAATTTGGCCGGAAGAGCTATAGAAGATGCATCTTTATCTCCAGCTTGCAATGTCTTAGCAAGGAATGGGTTCTCACTCTCCTCGTCATTTAGAGTCAATTTTGAACCCGGAAATTGCTAGGGAAAAAAAAAGAAACAAATATTAGAAATGAAGTAAACGCGGAAGGAAATAAATATAGGTTAAAGCACAATAGTAATTTATTTAAGATCTTTGCTGATCCTCATTTTATGAATTTATTTTGTATCTGCTATCTAAATATAAACATGTATATTCATCATTTGCAATGGAGCCAAAGTTTCACTTTTTTTGGCTTGGAAATACGATGAAATAAAGCAAAATGGCTCACTAGAATGTCTGCGGCTTCTTTGTTATGAAACATGAGTCGGTCCATGCAATTTTCAACGTGATTTTCACCATAGGTCATTCGGAAACATAAGGGTAAGGCTATGTATATCCGACTCCTTACCTCATCGTAGGTGGGAGCCTTTGCGGCACTGGAGTAATGATGATGATCTAAATATAAACATGACTTCTCCCTAGCAGTTTTTGGGATCCAAACATACCTCTAGCTTATGTGAACTCGAAGGCATTGGCAAACCATTGCATACCAACCGCTGCTGCAAATTCAACAAAGACCTCTCTGCCTTCCTGCGTTGCCTGGCTAATTCAATTTTGTCATCTCGGGGATCGGATACCCTCTCGTTCCATGTATCTGTGTGTATATAGGTGTGAGGATCGGGGAATGCGGGCAACCAAGACGGGATGTGCTTAGACTCCGGATTTTCACCTATTTGATCAAAAGTAGGAATCATCTTTGGGATTTTGATCACTGGAAAACGCGAGACTGGCTGAGCAAAAGGAATCTCTTCAGAAGCCTCAACATACTCAACTATCTCCTTCATAACACCTGAATTCACCCCACAAACGTTTGCTTCTGAAGCACCCATAAACCCCGTGTGTGGACAGAAATCCTCTAACCCGTGAATCACATCAAATACGTTACACTGGGACCTCCCAGATAAACTGGCATAGGAAGTAGCAGTCTTTCCCAGGTCAGAAATGTACTTGGCTATAACGTCTGAGAAGGAATTCATAGCCGATTCAGTGGAGCTCTCAAACCCAACACTCTCGCATATCTGAGCCACAGCAATTCTAGATATGGCACTTCCAAATTCATGGGAACTCGCCCGATTGTCCAGTGCATTCCCTCCATCTTGTCTACTCTCCACTTTACCTCCATTGCTCATATTCAAATTCCTGAACCATTTAGGTTTCCCACTCAAAATCAACTAAAAAATGTTAGCTTTTTACTGAACAAGGCACAAAAGATACAAAATGGCATCTGCAGTCCACAAAAACCCTAGATTCAACAATGCATCCAGAAGTGTGAAGTATTGGAGTACCTTGCTTAGTAGCGTTGCTGCGTTGGTTACTTGGTCAGTCGCGGCTGTGAGGTCGCGACTCGCAAGAAGAGGAATCCAGAGAGACGATGTCACGACGAGCGGAGGCCGGATGGTTGATGGGGCGACGAACGGAGCTGCGGGGCCCGAACAGTCGGAGGATTGGATTTGTAGGAGTGGCCGGCGCGCAATGGCGAGCAAAGACTTGACCGGGTATAAATTTTGATAGAATTGTGAACGCATTTGGTGCAGTGGTATCATAGTACCCTTTCAATACTGCTGATGCGCATTTGTTTTTTATTTTCCTTTTGGGAAAAAGAACGGATCAACTTGGACTACATCTACCTATGTGGTAAGAATTGGACCGATAAATGACTCGAACAAATGAACAGATCAACTTGGATCCGACGGGTCAACCCGTCAGTGACCGGTAAACCCGGTTAACATATAATATTATATAAAAATTAAGTTCACAAATGGAAAACTTATATCCCTTCATAATTTAATATTGATAATATGTTTCAGAAAAAGTTAATATTGATAATACAATATAGGTAGGGTATATTTGGCACAAATAGTTGAAAAATTACTTTTATGAGCTTTTTATTAACCGTTAACTTTTAGTGACTGAAAAGATCTTAAAAAGAAAAGGCAGTAGCTGTTTGGTAAAAAAGTAACTGTTTGGTATACAAGCCATTAGGACTAATTAATGTTAAAAGATACGGATTTGTCTGAGATGCTACTCACTGTAGCATCTCAAAAAAGATTTTTTATTTTTATAAAAGCTCTTAAAAATTGGCGTGCCAAACATACAACTAGAAGCTTTTAAAGACTTTTTAAATAGTACAAAAGCTAGAAGGTAGGAACTTATGCCCGCCAAACATAGCCGTGATGTCAAAAAAACTATTGTATTAAAGTATAGAGTTTTTTTCAAAAATATTACTAAAATAAAAAATATTTACACATATATAATCAATAGTTACTACAATATAGTATCATGGTCACTTAAGTTAAAAAATTGAACTTAAGCTACTATATTTTCATTATTACTCTATTCACTAGTCACATTATTGTAAATAATCTTTATTTTAGTCATATATGTAATTAAATCTAAAGTATATTGATTCTAACAAAATTAAAAATACATTTGTGTATAAATAGATGATAAATATGAACATACTATCCATCCTATCATATCCTATATACATGAAAGGAGAATCCACTCTCCCAAACTTTTCCCGCTTCTAGCCCCTTTATTACGTTTGGACGGTTACCTAAGTTCCCAATTCTCCTCGCACAAATTCAGCTCTTTTTCAATAATATTCCCTCCGTTCCGAAAAGGTTTGCCAAATTTACTTTTCTTAGTCAATGACAATCAAATTTGACCGATGATATATTTTAAGACGAAATTATTTAGAATATGAAAATTATATCAAAATATTCCTTATTGAAAATATTTTCATAAAAGTATAAAATTAATAAATTATATACAAATATAATAACTAAAATCATTGCCCAAAGTTTGCCATCATTGACCAAGAAAATCAATTTCTCAAACCTTTTCCGGATGGAGGCAGTACTTAATATATTTACGTCTGGTTCTCTTCTTTCATCTTCAGCCGCACCTCGCCTCACTTGGTTGCACCGCATCGTCGCGCCCTCGCCGCGCCCTCGTAGCAATTCACCGCATCGCCACACCTCGTTGCACCGCATTGCCGAATCGCATCAATGCACCCTGTCCACTATTTAACATCCCTTCACACACGAGTTCACCTCCCCTTGATAAAAAAAACAAGCAGAAATTGTTGAGAAATTCAGTCCCAAATAAGAATCTAATCTCACAAATATGATAAAATTCAAAGAATCAAGCACATATTAAACACTAACCGCTTGAGGAGAAACCGAACGTTGATGGTGAAGCCATGACGTTTAGATTCTCTAAGGATACAAAACTAATTTCTGATGGATTGAATGGTTCTCCCTTGGGTCTCTTATTATAGGTGTTCTTGAGACCCTTGGGAATGAACGTGTACATTCATTTTGTCGTAAGAATTGAATGGGCGGATGTCTTTTATATTTTGTATCAAAGAAAAACTCATTTGATCCCTTATGTATTATTTAATGTTAAAACATACTCATCATATATTAACTATACATAAATACAAGGACCAAATCTGTCATATGACAAACTTAATGGTAAGACATAAATGTCACCAATATATATTAAATTATATAAATGGTCCAAGGGCATTTAAATGGAATGCTTTTCCAACATTCTCCACTTGACCTTGAGATCATTTAAACATAAGCTAAAGTAAGTGTTGATCAAGAAAAGATTCATCTTACTCCATAATAATGTGAAAGCAAACAAATACAGTCTAACAGGGCAATATAACCCGGGACCCCATTAATCATACTTTGACACTTCTTAAAGAGTATAAGGATTAATATAAGCCAAATGACATTAAACTTAGAGTATTATGTTTGTCTATTAAATAACTTTGTGTGCACAATAAAGAATAGACAAAACATACTTAAGGAGGGATTCTAAATCAAGTACTTGAAATTAATACATAAGATAATTAATCAGGCACTGCGCTATAATATCCTAAACAGGATCTTTGATCAAGCCCATATTAGTGACATGTCTTTGAAAAATACTGGGCAAAAGTCCTTTAGTGAGAGGATTTGCTAGCATATCATTTGTGCTGATGTGTACGATACAAATTTCATTTTCCTCCACTCTTTCTCGAATGAACAAATATTTTGTATCGAGGAACAATCCCGCTCCACTCGAACTGTTATTGTTTGAGAAGCTCACGACCGCGGAATCGTCACAATAAATCCTTAGTTGTCTTGAGACGGAATTCACTACTTTGAATCTTTTGATAAGATTCCTTAACAACATTCCATGACACATTGCGTTGTACACCGCAACATAATCAACCATCATTGTTGAAGTAGTCGTAAGTCTTTGCTTGTAGCTTTTCCAAGATATTGGCCCAGATGATAGCAAGGAAATGTATCCCGAAGTGGACTTCTTATCATCTTTTCACTTAGCAAAGTCAGTCGGAATATCCTACCACTTCTAAATTATTAGACCTCTGATATGTAAGTTGTACTCCTTTGTCCCTTGAAGATACCGCAAAACTTTCTTAGCGACTTTCCAATTATCTAATCCTGGGTTAGATTGATATCTTCCCAACATACCGGATACATATGCAATATCTGGACGAGTACAAACTTGAGCATACATCAGGTTTCCAACTATGGAAGCATAAGGAATGAGTTTCATTATTTGCTCTTTCTCAACCTCGGTTTTTGGGCATTGGAATGACCCAAAAACGTCTCCCTTAACTACTGCAGCAACTGATGGAGAGCATTGTTGCATGTTGAAACGTTCTAAAATGCGCTCAATGTATGCCTTTTGGGACAAGCCTAACGTCCCTTTGACTCTGTCTCGGTGAATTTCAACGCCTATAACATAAGAAGCTTCACCTAGATCTTTCATGTCAAAATGGCCAAATAATAAGCATTTTGTTTCATGCAATAAATCCAAGTCACTGCTTGCTAATAAGATGTCATCAACATATAACACAAGTATGATGAATTTGCTCCCACTCATTTTGAGGTAAGTGCATTGATCTACTTTGTTTTTAATAAGGCCATTTGATTTCACGACTTCATCAAATTTGAGGTATCATTGTCGAGATGCTTGCTTGAGCCCATAAATAGACTTCTTGAGTTTACACACTAGATGTTCTTGACCCTTAGAAACATAACCTTCTGGTTGTATCATATAAATATCTTCCTGTAAATCTCCATTTAAGAAGGCTGTTTTGACGTCCATTTGATGTAGCTCAAGATCAAAGTGAGCTATTAAAGCCATAATGACTCTTAGGGAGTCCTTTCAAGAGACGGGTGAAAAGGTCTCTTGATAATCTACACTTTCCCTTTGAGTGTATCCCTTAGCGACCAGTCTTGCCTTGTATCTTTCAATGTTTCCCTTTGGATCTAATTTAGTCTTAGATCCAAAGGAATTCAGCATGTCGGGTCTTGACAATTCGGGTAGTATGAGATGGGCAATAGAACTTATACCCCTTAGATCCCTTGGGATAACCAATAAAAGAACAACTAATGGTTCTCATGTCAAGTTTCTTCAATTGAGGATTATACACTTTTGCTTCAGTCGGACAACCCCACACTTTTAGGTACCGTAGACTAGGTTTCCTTCCCGTCCATAGCTCATATGGATTTTTAGGGACATATTTAGATGGCACTCTATTCAATATGTGGGTTGCTGTTTTTAGGGCCTTGTCCATAAGAATTGGGGAAGATTTGCGTTAGCCAACATACTTCGGATCATATCCATAGAAGTCCTATTCCGTCTTTCGACAACTCCATTTTGTTGAGGGGTGCCAGGCATGGTATATTGCTTGATGATCCTGTGATCTTTACAAAATTCATGGAAAGAGTCAGGAACTTGACCAATATCAGCGTGTCGGCCATAGAACTCACCACCCCTATCCGATCTCACTACTTTGATCTTTTGATCAAATTAATTTTTAACTTCAGCTTTATAAGCCTTGAACATATCTAGTGATTCGGATTTTTCCTTAATCAAATATAGGTACATATAGCGCGAGTAATCATCTATGAAAGTAATAAAGGACTTATGACCACTAATGGAATAGGGAAAAGGTCCACAAATATCGGTGTGTATTAATTCTAACAAACCGGTGCTTCGTGTGGCGTCTTTCTTAATTTTCTTAGACAATTTCCCTTTCAAACACTTCACACACTTGTCATAATCTGAGAAGTCAAGATTTGGAAGAATTCCGTCTTTCACGAGTCTTATCATTCGATCTCGTGATATGTGGCCCAACCTTTGATGCCACAAATTGGACGACGATTCCAATTCTCTCTCTCTCTTACGAGGATTTTCAGTAATATTAAATGACAATGGGGATTCCATAAAATTAGTATCTAAACATAATTTATAGAGATTTCCCTCAATGATACCAAATCCTATTACATTTGAGTTCAAGCTTATTGTCACTTTATTGTATACAAAATTAAATGTAAAACCATCAGCACTTAGATTCGATACAGACACTAAATTACGAGTAATATTAGGTACATAAAGAGCATCACGAAGATGAAGAATGAAGCCACTCTCTAAAATTAATGAGATAGTTCCAATGGCCTCCACTTCTAATTCTTCTTTGTTGCCCACCTTATTCACTCTTTGCTTTCTTCCCAATGTTCAGATTGAATGGAATTCCTGCAGTGTGTTTGAAACATGAAGCATTGAACCAGAGTCAATCCACCAAGCACTGA